ACCTGCCCGCGACGTGCCTCAGGTGCCGCGGCGGCGGCACCGCCGTCCACGCCGCTGTCAGGGTCCCCGTCCCGGTCCGCGTCAGGGAGCACGGCGAGAGGCTGCTCTCCGTTGTTGGAGCAGGGTTCGCGCTCGGCCCCGCCCGCAGAGAAGATCCCGCGGGAAGCCCCGCGTCGCACGCGCGGAAGCACCGCCGGAGAAGGACCCCCGCTGGATGAAGCAAGACGACGCACCGCGCTTATTTTTCGAGTCCGGCATCTGTGTAGAATATTTCTTGGGAGTGAGTGTCAGTTTTGTAAACCTATGGCCGAGTGGCTTTGAGCCCTCCGTGTTTAACTAGTACCAAACTTTTTCGCCTGTCTTGTCGTCGAAGGATGACGAGCCGCTCGCGTGTGAAAAGCACTTCGGTTTGTTTACTCGACGCAGGGCCAGCCACACAAACAAAAATCAATAATAAGAAGAAGAGCCCCTACAGATAGTACCGCGCCTCACAACCATCCCGAAGAGAGGACGGTGTTGGACACCGGCTTCGGCCCGAGCGGGTTGGGCGCCGACTCCTTCTCCACCGGCATCACGCTGCACTGCGCAATCTGCTGCAACAGGTGGTCGGCGAGCGTCAACGCCACCATCGACTCCACCATGGGCACGGCCCTGGGGAGGACGCAGGGGTCATGTCGTCCTTTCCCCCGTAGCTCCGTCTCCTCCCCCGCCCTCGTCACCGTCTTCTGCTTCTTGCCGATGGTGCTGGTCGCCTTGAACGCCACGCGACACACAATCGCCTCGCCGTTGCTGATGCCGCCCTGCACGCCGCCGCTGCGATTGGACGCGGTCCGCGTGCGCCCGTCGTCGTCCACGTAGAACGCGTCGTTATGCTCCAGCCCCGTCAGCATCGTCCCCTCGAACCCGCTCCCAATCTCAAACCCCTTGCTCGCGGGCAGGCTCATACACGCCTTGGCGAGGTCTGCCTCGAGCTTATCGAACACGGGCGAGCCCAGTCCGGCAGGCACGTTCCTGGCGACAACCTCGACCACGCCGCCGACGCTATTCCCCGTCTTGCGGATCGAGTCCACGTACGCGATCATCTTCTCGGCCGTTTCCTCGTGCGGGCACCGGATGATGTTAGCCTCGACCTGCTCCTGCGTCACTGCGTGCGGGTCGACATGCGGCGCCTCTATGTCGCGCACGCTCTTGACGTACGCGATGACCTCGACGGCGGCGTACTCGCGCAGGATTTTCTTCGCGATGGCGCCGGCGGCCACGCGGCCGATAGTCTCGCGCGCGGACGAGCGGCCGCCGCCGGCGACGGCGCGGATGCCGTACTTGGCGTCGTACGCGGCGTCGGCGTGGCTCGGGCGGTAGGCGACGGCCATGGTGTTGTAGTCCTGGCTGCGGTGGTCCTTGTTGCGCACGAGCATGGCGATGGGGGTGCCGATGCACACGCCGTCCACGACGCCGGACAGGATCTCGACGGCGTCGGGCTCGTTGCGCGGGGTGACGATGCGGCTCTGGCCGGGGCGGCGTCGGTCCAGGTCGAGCTGGACCTCTTCGCGCGAGAGGGCCAGACGCGGGGGGACGCCGTCGACCGTGACGCCGACGCCACCGCCGTGCGACTCGCCCCACGTGCTGATGCGCAGGATGCGGCCAAAGGTGTTGCCGAGACCCATGCGCGGAAGACGGCGGGCGGGCGCGCGGCGCGCGGAGCGCGGGGCATTGGGGAAGCACGCCGGCGTGAAGGAAGAGGCGGAGAGGGGTTGGACAAAGGCGGGCATGGTTGGTTGGTGATGGGGATGATGGGGGCCGATGGGTTGAGGAATGGCCGGGGGGGGGGGGGAGAGGGGGGATAGGGGGAAGGGTGGAGCGGGGGATGGGCATTTCGATGCCTGTTTGTACACAAAGCTGTTTGTACACAAAGCTGTTTAGTGGGGATGGATCCGGATGTGGCGCAGGGCCTCCTTTAAGACAGCATGAGGGCCTCCTTTAAGACAGGGCCTCCTTTAAGACAGCATGGACAGGAGGTTGGAGCCTCCAACCTCAGCGCCACATCCGGATCGCCTGATCGAGATACTCCAACTTGGAGCATCTCGATCGGGCGGTGTGTCGATTTGATTGGATAATATGTTTCACAACGTCTTGTGATTGGATGTATGTTTGTATTTTATTAATACAAGCACGTGTATATGTATTATTTTATTTTTCCTATTATTCCAACCCCAATCAGCGTGGCATCTGCTCCCTCTACTCGTCTACATTGTAGTCTCGCCAGCCTCACAGCCCTTGTCAAACACTCCTCCGCCTTCGCTAATCCGAGAATTGGCCTAGTTGTACCGCACGCCTTACTGTTCCTTCGAAACATACACCAAGACATTCAACTAACATAACATGTCTTCGTGTTCGTACGAACCAAGCACCAAGACATGCAACTAACACCATTCTCTCGCCCCACCATCCAATGCTACACTAGGCCGCACCAAACCACCGCTTCACTCACTGCCACCACACAACCATTGCACTCCATCTTCCGTCACCCTCCTGCACGTCAACACACATGCCCATTTACGCATCGTCGCCTCTTCCTGCCTTTTGACTCTATCTACAGCAACTCAAACTCTTCTCACATACTGTACATCAACGACAACACCTACCAAACCGCACCGTTTCAAAGGTCTTGTCGTTGATCTATGTGTCCTACACGAGCATCCACCAGATAAAACAATTTACATTCCACTCACATCCTTCTCCTAGCAAAAACGCACAACGACACAACCCCACTCAGTCCTTTGCCTCTTTCTCAAACTTTTTCGCCTCTGTGAAGAACTGCTCCAGCCCATACGGGTCCTCGTTTGCGGCCGACTTAAGCTCCGTATCCCTCTCAAACTCCACGGGCCGATCGCGCACCGCCCCACCCTTCGAAGCCCCCGTCGCGCCAGCCGCGACACTACCCCCAAACGGCCTATCCGCCTTTCCTCTCCTGCCGCCCGCGCCTGCCTCCTCTTCGCCTTCGTTCCTGGGTGGCCTGTACAAAAACTTGGACGACGCGTTCCCGCCGGCAAACAGCGGCTTGTCGTACAGGCTGTACGAGTCATCCGCGCCGAATCCTCCGGCGAGCGAGCTCTGCCCGCGTCCGTGCGCCCCGTCCTGGTTGAACAGCCGCTGGTCGTACTGCACCTCCCCGCCGCCCACTCCACCGCCCGTGCCCTGCCCGAGCGCGACGCGCTCGGCCAGGTCGCGCTCCTGGTCGCGTGAGAGCTTGCTCCGCTTGAGAGTTGGCGCCGTCGACTCCTCGCGAATGTAGCTGTGCTGCCGGAACTCGCGGTCGCGCTCCTCCCGCATTTCTCTGCGCAGCTCGTCGCGCCGCCGCACAGCATCTTCGTCCACGCCCGGCTCCGCGGGCGCCGACGCGGCCGTGGAGGGGCCGGCGGAAAAGCGGCTACGGCGCTTCCGGCGCGGGACGGCGAACGACGGCACGTCGGGGCCGGGTGCGGGCGCCGGCGGGGCCGACGGTACCGATGGCGTGGGGGGAGCGTCGTCGCGCAGCTGGCGTGCAGCCTCCACCGGCGCCGGCGCACGCGGCGCAACCCCCGCGCGCGTGGGCTCCGTCGCGGCGACACTCTCCGTGTCGGTGGCCTCGGACAGTCCGAGATAGCCCTTGCGCTCGCGGCGGGCGCGGTCGGCGAGCTCGCGGAGCTCTTGCTCCTTGGCAGTCTTCGCGCGGATGGAGACCTGTCGCTGTATGTGGGCGCGCTTCTCGACGTCGTCGCGCGCGGTGCGCTCGGCTGAGTACATGGCTTCGGCGAAGGAGGCGAAGCGGTCGTTGATGGAGTGGTCCTGCAGGTCGCGGCCCTCAGCCGCGAGACGCTTGTCGAGGGAAATGGTGTAGCCGCGGTTGTTCTTCCAGTTGGAGACAACTGGTGGGATCTTCCAGTCGGCAGCGTCCTTCTTGGTGAGCTTGCGCTCGGGGGAGTGCATGACGGGGACGGGGGGGCTAGGTGGGTTGACCGGGGCCTTGGTCATGGAGAACTTTGGCGGGAGCATGGGGTCGACGGGGGCCTCGACGAGCTTGATGATGCGCTGGGCGGCGCCGGAGTTGTGGGCGGTGTTGGTGTTGGCCGGGGTGTATCGGACAAAGGAGGGCTTCTCCTTGCGGGCGAGGACGTGCGGGTTGTGTGTCTTTGCGGCGACGATCTTCCCGTTGACGACTTTCTCCAGGGCGACGCGCGTGCGCTCGGCGGTGGCGTCGGCG